CATATATAATAAATACATACAAAGTACATATTTAAAGTCATGAAAGAAGAAAGATAAGAAACTCTGTCAACTCTGAAATGTATCTGTAGTAACAATACCATACTTCAAAGAATAAGCATAAAGTAAAAGATATTTCCCAGCAAATTAATTTGTTGATGGCAGATCTGCTCTGAAGATCTAAAGAATTGCTAAAAGTAAATTTTTCAGACTAAAGGAAAATGATACCAAATGGAAATTTCAGTGTCCAGGAATGTACACTGGACATAATATAAGTACACGTAAAAGACTTTATATACATTCTCTATTTAAAAAGTACATGACTCTAGATAAGTAGAAATAATTATAATTTTATGTACACGTATATTTAGTGCTGTAAAAGAAAGTATGGAAGGGAAGAAAGAGAAAAACAGGTGGCACAAATACAAGTAACAAATTTTAGGCTGAGTACAACTAGGTCATTATATACTTAAATAAACCAGAACTCTAGTGTCAAAGTAGAGATTTTTAGAGTAGATGAGTAAAAGTGAGGCTTAACTGTATGCTGTTTACAGAAGATACTCTTTAAATACAAAGTTAGCTATTTTGAAAATGAAAATACTGGGAAAAGACCTTCAGTGCAGATAGTAAACAAAATCTGAAGTGACCATATTAATATTAAGTAGTCTTTAAGATGTTAATGGAAGCAGAAGGGGACATTTTGTAACGAAGTGGTCAATGAATGGAGAAAACTTAGTTAGAAATGTCTGTGCACCTAATAGTAAAAGTTTCATGTTGTATGAAACAAAATTGATAGAAATTGGAAGAAAAATTCAAAAATCATCATTGGAGGTTATAACATGCTCTCAGTCAACAGTGGACTAAGTTTTAAAATGTTTAAAATTAACTAAGATAAATAAAAACTGGCCCAGATGTTTAGAATATGGAAAAATAAGAGCTTTCCCACTTGGTGGAAATGTTCGATTTTTATAACCACTTTGGGGAGAAATTTGGCGGATTTTTATAAAGTTAAACATAACTCCTTCCCTTTTACCCAGCAATTCCTTTTCTGGTACTTACCCAAGAGAAATAAAAACATATGTCCAGAAAGGTCTTGTTCAGGAGCACTCATAGGAAATGTATTCATAATACCCAAGCTGGAAACAATCCAGATGTCTAGCAACAAGAGAATAAACAAATTGTGGCATTACTCAGATATAAAAAGGTGCTGACTACTGATATAACTAAAAACATGGATAAATCTTGCAGATGTATGGAGTATAAGAAGAGTCAAAGAATTCAGTCTGTGCAGTTCCCTTCATGTACATATACTGCAGCAAACAAATCTACTGAAAAATCGACAGATTTCTTACTTTTGGAGAAATTACAGCATAGGATGAGGGAAGACTAGACTGCATGTAGTATTGGATTGGAATAAGAGGAATCTTACTTGTGTTTTTAATATTAGATTAATATGTGTGTGTATATATGTGTGTGTATGTATATAATATATGCCTTTGTGTAAGTATACACACAAAACAAAGATTCTATATCGCTGTCCTGAGAAGACCCGAAACACTAATACTCCAGTTGCACTGAGCCCTCCAGGTGCCCCATTTAGGGTTCAAAATACCAATTTTCCGTAACAGGAACCAGGACTCTTAGACAAAAGACTGAATCTCAAGTTGGGTCAGGGAAAGCACTAGGTAAAGTTGACCTTCTTGTGTCAGAAATTAAGTGTGATCATTTTTGGGGGACCCATGATAATGTTGCCTGTTAATTTCAAAGAGGAAAATAGTAAGTTTATAAGGAAGAAATTTGTCATGCACCTCTTTAACCAAGACCTGCAGCCTAAAATCACCAGTAATGGGACAGAGTGGCATCATATGACTCTTGATAGGGTGAACTGAGAAAGTCTTCAGCAGCAGTACTGCCAGAAATGCATAAAGTGAGCCTAGTCGTGGAGAAAACCAGGTAAATCTAGATCAGTAGACATTTTACATCTAGTTTGTTTTCTTTTAATCTCAAGGTCAAGAAAAACTAACGAATGATATTTCAGATTGATGTCTGAGTGGACATGACCATTTAATAATTCATAATCTTTAGATTAGATCTAGACCTGGAGCAGATATTACTACAAAATACACTGTTGAGGCAGTTGACAGAATTTACTGTAACTAGATCAGACAGTAATGTTATATGTTAAATTTCTTCTTGTTGTCATTTTTGATAACTGTCAAATATAAGATTGTCTTTGATCTTAGAAATGTACAATGAAGGGATAAGGGAGCACATTGTCTTCAGCTTCTCTTAAATGGTACCAAAAACAGCATTTTCGTCATTATGATAATAAATATATTTAATGTTATTTTTTCAAGCATTTCTCATTATATTACATTCCAGTGTTTCTGGAGTTGTATAAACTTCTTGTTTGTATGTTTGGGAGGATTTAGAGACTAAGAATGTAAATTTATTACTTCTATTAGTCCCTTTTATATTACTACTTTGAAAAGGTTATGAAAGCTACAGGTTCTCCAGTGTCTCCATTGTACTTTTGCATATAACTGGAAGAGTGGTTCACAGATAGCCTCAAGCCTATCCGCTAACCCTTCCACGCAAGCATTAGCCACATGGTCCACTCAGGTTTAGTATGCATGTTTATTCACTGGCAAAAAAGGTTTGCTTCAGATTAGTGGTTTTTACAGCCAACATCAGAATCATTTGATGTTTTTGATAAAAGTTTAAATTCCAAATTCTGTACACTTGTTCCTTCACAAATATTTGTGAATTTCTATGTGTACCAAGCTTATTCTAGGCACTAGCCAGTCAATAGTAGGTAGAATGCCTGCCATTGTAGGATTTACATTCC